CGGCGTCGGTGATCGCTGCCTCGGCCATGCACAGCTTGTAGTGCGCGAGGAACCGCAGCGTTGGCGGCGCGATCGTCGCTAGGATCGACTGCCGCGTGTGCATACATGCCTTGGCTTCGCACGCGACCTCGTAGCGCGCGCGGGCGTCGCGGAAGGCCGCCAAGGTGGCGAGCGTCGTGTCGGCCAAGACCGGCGCGGCGAGGAGCGTCTCCATGTTGCTGTCCTCGTCGTCGTCGTAGGCGAAGCGCTCGTCGAGGCCAGGCTCGAGCTTGATCCTGGGCGAGGGGACCATGCGCTCGGTCACCGTGTTGGCGAATGAAACAAGTCGCCCAATCGCATGGCGCGGGTGTCGAGTATATTGGCCAATCAGGGAGAGTAAAAGTCGGGAGCCAATCAAATGGTGTTGTTGCCCGCGTGGCAGCCCAACGGGCGTTTCGCCCGCACCGACACCTGGCTCGACCCTCTACAAGATACCGGTCGATAGATGGATAGATGGTTGGCAGGCTGGATGGGAAGATAGATGTGTGGATTGATCCGATTTTGGGGCGGCCGTTTTTCTCTGGGTGTCTCTTGTGAATGACTCGACTTGCGTATGCGCAGACATGTGAGAGTGAGTTCTCTTTGGAATCGAACGCGATGTTCGACGTGCAAATCCAGTGTATTTTTCAGTCTTAAATATGATAATCAACTATGCAAGAGCCATCCCATCGGCCGTTTAGAGCGCACCCCACGCGAGGAAAACGCCAAGAAGCAGCATCGCACTCGTGGCCGCGGTCTCTGCGTTGGACGTTCGCTGCAGCGTCGACGGTGTGCCCGTGTAGCTGAGTGTGAGTTGGTTGCAGTCGGTGGAGAACGAAATGGGCACCGAGAGCTTTGCGTTGGTCGTAAAGACGCTGCCGCAGACACCCGAGACGGTCGACACGGTAAACGTTGCCATTGGACCCGAGACCGCAAACGTTCCCGTCGTTGAGCACGTGCTGCTGATGCTCGTAGCGCACGTGATTGAGACGTAGCCCGCCAAGAAATTCTCGATCTTCGTCTCTTGGTCTGTCGTGCAGGACGGCAGAAGCATTGGAGTGGGTGTCGGAGCGGGTGTCGGCGCTGGCTCCAGGCTGGGTCAGATGCGGTAGAGAGGACTTGGGTCGGAAAGCATCATGCCATCATAGGTGCACGATGAAAATGTCTTTCTCGTCGACAAGTAGTTCGCTGGGCAGGTCGACGCGCAAAAGCCCGACGGCAAGTCTCCTGGTGTCTCAGCGACACCATACGCGAGGTCACCGAGCGTAGTAGTAGGCGAAGCGTTGAGAAACGTCGAGCAGTTGGACCAAAGCCTTGCGCCATGTGCATCGTACTTGACCACCATATCGACCATGGAGCAATTCGCCCCGACTGCCGCAGGCGTGCACCCAAACCGATGTCGGAATTCGTCCATCGTGTTGTTCCCATCTTCTCTGACGCAGTTGGGCATTAGCTTGGCGATCGAGTTGATAAAGGCCGTGCAGGTGGAGGACGCACACAACGTCTTGGCCTCTTCGGTGGTGGCGGCTGAAAGGTAGTACAAGTTTTTGTTCTTGTCACTGGAGCAATTGAGCCACACTGGTTCGTGGATCATCAGGCCGTTGACCAAGATCACGTCGCCCGTCGTGCACGCACCGCCGTTGGTCGTTGGACGCGTCATGTTGGTGCACAGTTGATTTAGTTGGTCGACCTTGGTGTAAGTTCCGGCGTCATCGGTGCAGCTTGGAATTCTGCTCGTGAGGTTCTGCAGGTCGGCCTGGCACGGTGGCCGACACATGAGGTATTGATCGGAATAGAGTCCATCTGCGAACGTCATCGAGCTCTTCCAGCTGGGCATGCTCGCAACGCACGAGGTCGAAACGTTGGCCGCCAAAAAGTTGTTGATCGTCGCATTTTGGTCCGTCGTGCAAGACGCAGCGGTCGCGGACGTCGCCAGCATGAGCGCCACCGTCGCAGCGCAGAGCCGTTCCATGGTGTTCGAGGTGAGGCAAATTGCAAACTGGGTTCTCTTTATGTTCAGGGCAGAGTTGTTTTTGGTCGGCGGTTCGAGTATGTATATCCTTAGCAGTGTTGCAGAACCGTCGCGTTAAAGGGAAGCGGGGTTAGGGTACACATCTCTTTAAACTCTATAAATACAACACTTGCAACCACCTTTGCTCGTAAGCACCAAGGACATCCAATCCGAAGCCCGAAACCAATGACAAAGAAAAATGGCGCGCAACTTATAGGGGTAGGGATGTTGCCTATTTCAGACACCAGTGAACCGACCGAAGCGAAACCGATGCAACGGTGGCCTCTACAGACCAGTCGTGTGCGATACCCACCGAAATCGATGCACATGAATCACCCACCTGTGTCACCCGAGGCGTCTATGGACCCACCGACCATGGACAAGAAGACATACGGCAAGATCGCGTCGCTTGCAGCCACACCGCCGCCGGCCACTGGCTGCGTTCGCTACCGCGATTGGTCGTTCGTTCTGCTCTGTTCCTGCAACGCCATCATCATTTGCCGCATGGTGCAGCAATGACCTGTCTTCCACGGTACCGTCAATCCGTTCGAGAGCTCGTTCGACGCGACGACTGCCAACGACGCGCTCGGGTTGTTGGTTGCGCTCTGGAGCCTCGCGATCGGAATGGCAGCCTTCATGCTGCTGCTCAAACTCCTCTTCCCGACAACCATCATCGTGTGCAATTTGCTGTAGATGTCCATGTACATATTGCCTTGTCTGACGTGGTGCTGTAGCTTCAACTTGACCGTCCTTGTCGGCATCGCTGTCGTCGGTCTGCTCTTGAGCGTGTCCAATGGACACGTTCAATGGACACTGTCAATTGTCACAGCATTCGATGTCCTTCTGACGCTCATCTATCTCTGGTACGAGCATACTCTAGCATGTCTCTTCTTTGAGTTTGCTATGTAGCTACTTGTATACCATTCGTCGTCACATTCCGTTTGCCGCCGCCAACTTGAAGGTCGCCGCCGCCGCGGTGTGGAGCCTGCCCGGCTTGATCGCCGTCACGCTGTGTTTGCTGTGTGTACAGCTCGGCTGGACGCTGCTCTGGTATGGGCGCAATCTATTCGAGTTACCACGTGGACACTACAAGATCATTGCGCTCCTCGGGGTCTTGGTCTACATTGACTATGATGAGGTCGTTTGCATCTTGATGTGTCTCTCTCTGCTCTAAAACATCGTGGTTCGTCGATCGCTGTGTCCTGGCTTTTTATTCTCATTCTGCCTTGCAAGTCATCAAGAGCATCAACCACACGGTCGTCGCCGGCAGCGTCGCTGGTTGTTGGTGCGCGACGTCTGGTGCGCACACACACGTGCCCCGCACTCGCGCAAGGCCCCATGACATCGTTTGGGTCCATTTGCATTGGCTCGCTCGTCGTCGCCATCATTGAGACCTTGCGCAAGGTACTCGTCTTGGCATCTCGAGAAGCTGCAAGTGATGCTTCAGGTGCTGCGGGCTGCGGGCAGTAACGGCGGCGCTGCGCGGTGCATTATCTGCTGCATCGCCGAGCTCGTCGAGGTCCTCAACTACTGGGCGTTTGTGTACGGAGCAGTCTCCGGCACGTCGTTTGTCACGTCGGGTCGGACCGTGCTGCAGCTTTTTCAGACGCGCGGGCTCACAATCCTTCTCAACAACAATCGCATTTCGTCCGCGCTCGGATTCACATCCATTATCGTCGGTACGATACTACCTCGAGCATGTCGTTGAGCGCAGGTAGGGTTTGTGTGCGCGGGCTGCGCTGCCGCCATCGCAGGAACCAGCGATTTCGTCATGCCGAGAGTATTGCTCCTACGCTTGGATCGGTGGTTGATGATGTGATGTGTTTGTCTAGGCGTTGTGATCCTGGGCACCTTTTCCATCGGTCTCGCAGTTGTCATTGTGACGCGTGGTATGATCGAGAGTGCAGCCGCGGCCGTGATCGTGTGCTTTGTTGAGGTACATTTGATGGGAAAATGGATTCATTCCTATCACATGATGTAGAACCCCGAGGCGTTGCAAGAGTCGCATGGATCAGTTGCGCATGGATCGCACTTTCGATCGCTCCGCCACAGCTGGCAGCGCATGTACCCACCCACCCGACCGTGATGATGGTGGCGGGGTACACATACGCACCAGCCCTAGTCGACATTATACGCATCGTAAAGGAGTGCATTTGCTACGATTGGACAATGTAGAGCACGACTCCTTGCATTCGTTGCGAGCACAAGAAGGTTGTTGTCGGTCTTTGATGGATATATCTCTACTTGCGAGTACTTTCAAATAGCATACACGTGTTGATGGCACCGTATTTGGAGGAGACGTATCGCGGAGAGGACGTCGTAGAGTGAATCATCCTACGTGATGTACCCGGCTGCCCGGCAGCAAGGGTGCTTCACCCTTGCTGGCCGTGAAATGCGATATATATTCTGGTGTATCAAACGCCGGTCGTCCCACATGCCGCTGCAAGCCGATCATTCTATTTGAGATCGGTAGAAATCAATGGGTAGAAATGTCGACCTTGCATCGTCGGCCCTACCCCTTGTCTCCAAATAGCCACCTGTCGAGAGGTATTTTTACAAGCCCGCGTCGGCCAACCGTCTACACCCTTTGCAGTCGATGGCGCCACCTCGCTCGGAGCGGCCCGTGTCTTGTTCATTTTTGAATTTGCCAACTACCATGGTCAAGCTCTTCGCATCGGCTCTCTACACCGCAACTGTCCTTCTTACGGCGGTGCACGCTTGCGTCTGGGAGTCGTCCGTGGACGTCGTCGGCAACCTGACGCTCTCTTGTGCTGACGTGGCCACGGGTGCTCGCTTGGAGCCGACAAGCACGACCGCGCCCATGGTGTCGGTCGACGCGCCCAATGCGCTTCAAGTGGTGGTACGGGCGGACGCGACCCAAGAGATTCTCAACGCCGACGCCAGCGACTGGACCACCGCGTACAATGCGACCGTTGCCGCACCAGCGTCCGGTGGCTACTCGGTCGTATTGGTCTGCGGCAAGCCTGACGGCGGCGCGTGTCACGTTTCGTACGGACTGCAATGGGCGTCGCCGGTGCCCATCCGCAACATCAGCGGCAGCACCAACAACACCGGTGCGGCGTCGACCGCCAACTCCAACATGTCGTACTCCAGATACACGGGGTGCAGCTTCACGGGCACCTTCTCTACAAGCAATGTGTACATTTTCGTCTGCGACAGCGTGCAGCCGGGGGTGTTTACACCCACGGTCTCGTCTGCGTCCGACAGCTTCAGCGTCGCCATCCTGGATGCGACCAACTATGAAAAGTACATGAGCACTGGCTCTGCTAATTGTGCCAATACCGGCTGCGCTACCATCTACAACGCGCAGTCGTATACCACCAACTTTAGCATTGCCAACACCGGCACTTACGCAGTCGTCGTCGAATGCCGCAACGCCAACACAATCTGCAGCTTTCGCGGCGACATCAACTTCAATGCTCGAGCGGCGCCCACGTCAGGTGGCGCGAGCTCGACGTGCCCCGTCCTGGCACGTACATGAGCACGGACAGGCGTCTGGAGCTCTCAAGCACTGGAACCTATGCCCAGACCAACGACGGCGGCAACGGCATCACGTGCTCGACGACGGGGACGTACGAGGTCTCGGGCCAAACGGCGTCCTTCACCGTGTCGACTGTCTCGGCCGATTGCCGAAGCCTCTTTACACTCAACCAAAAGTACTCGGGGCCCTTCTCGTTCTCGAGCAGCTGCCAGCAACTCACGCTCGGCTACGCCACGACGACGTGGACGCTGCAGCGAGTGTCCAGCGCGCCCATGGCCAGCGTGACCATGCTGCTTGGTGTACTCCTCGCGTGGTGCGCGCTCTAGTCGCACTCGAGTCGAACGACCGCCACCGGTTTTCTACACATGAATGCATTTGGACATGTTCAAGCGCATTAATACGACACCATTCCATGCAGTGTGTTTTATACGAGTAAGCGCGCGGCTTCCATAGACGTGCCCGTGGTGTTCCCTTCACCTGGTGGTACATTGATGTACATGCATGATTGCAGAGGTTGAAATCCATTGACATTTCCTGTAGCATTATTAATATCCGTGCGCTGTGCTCGGTCACAAACTAGTGGTAATACAACCGTGCGAGTCCCAGCATCGTTCCTACGACTGGGATAGCTGGCGCCAGCGTCGTCTCATGCATTCACGAGGTGACAGCCTACGCGGCTTCTTCCTTACTACAACCAAGCCGCGCGATGGCAGAAATGGTGAGAGAATGCACATCAATGTATTGGCCGTTTCATTCTGATGTCTCTTGCAAACAGCTGCAGGTGCAAATGTCACGGTGCGTTATCTCGATCAAAATTCGCGCCGACCCACCACTCAAGTCCATGGACCATTGCCGTCAAGGCGGCGCGTGTCGCTCAACTGCATTTCCACCGCAGCCTTGTTCAAGAGCCCGAGCAGCCTGCTCTTCGTCGGCTTCTCCGGCTCATCGCTTGTCCGGTTGTTAACGCCTCGCGAAGCAAGCGACCGCAGTGAAATGATCGACAATATTGTACAGCTAGTTCAAAAAGTTGTTTGTTCCATCGAATTGACCTGTCTCGTTTCTCGTTAAACCGTACTGTTGCACTATGACAGATGTGCGACGCCAACGACCCTAAAATGACAATCTAAGCCTTGGATAGAAAATGCAAGAGAAAAGCAAGTCGCTTCACAACATCCACAACATATCGTTTACATGTATGCAGCTACAGAAAGAGCTCGTCGGGTGACCGCCACGTCCCGTAGTCGGCGGTGTTGGATGCTTCGTCCTGGCACGTTGCGGCGGCGCCATGGGAACCGTGCTTCGTGCGCAATAGCGCAGGATTCTACGAGGTCAAAGAGACGCCGGTCGTCGCACTTGGCGTGAGCGTTCGATGGGACGTGCAAAAGGAGCTCGACGTCGCGGCGCAGCGCGCGTGGTCGCACGCCTTCGACCAGCATGGCGCAAAAGAGGTTGGCACCGGCGAAGTGAAAGTTGTTGGCGTCGGCCATCTCGTTGGCGCGCATAAAGTAACTTGCGACGCGCGCGCGGGCGTCGGGGATGCGCATGTCCATGACGAGGTGCGCGCGGTAGTGCTGCACGATCGCCTCGATCGACGTTGGCGTCGTCTCTGCCAGCTCGCGCTCGATCCAGGCGAGGATGTCGGCGTCGGTGATCGCTGCCTCGGCCATGCACAGCTTGTAGTGCGCGAGGAACCGCAGCGTTGGCGGCGCGATGGTCACTAGGATCGACTGCCGCGTGTGCATACATGCATGCCTTGGCTTCGCACGCGACCTCGTAGCGCGCGGGCGTCGCGGAAGGCCGCCAAGCTGGCGAGCGTCGTGTCGGCCAAGACCGGCGCGGCGAGGAGCGTCTCCATGCTGCTGTCCTCATCGTCGCCGACGTAGGCGAAGCGCTCGTCGAGGCCGGGCTTGTCCATCGTGTTGCGTCCGTAGCTGTCGACGCAGTTGGGCATCAACTTGGCCATCGCGTTGACGAAGGCTGAGCAGGTGGCGGACGCACACAGCGCCTTGGCGTCTTGGGTGGTGTAAGCTTGAAGGTCGTCCAAGTCTGCGTCTTTGACACTGGAGCAGTTGAGCCACACCGGTTCATCGTACATCAGACCGCCATACAAGATCGTGTCGGCCGTCGTGCACGCACCGCCGTTGGTCGTTGGACGCGTCATGTCGGTGCACAGCTGCTTTTGTTGGTCGACCTTGGCGTAAGTTCCGGCGTCATAGGCGCACTCTGGAATGCTGCTCGTTAGGTTCTGCAGGTCGATCTTGCACGCGCCCGGTCACGATGTACTTATCGGAATCGAGGCCATCCGCGAACGTCATCGGGCTCCATTTGTTCCAGCGTGCGCCCGCAGCACACGAGGTCGAGACGTTGGCCTCCAACAAATTCTTGATCTTCGTCTCTTGGACTGTCGTGGAAGACGCAGCGGTCGCGGACGTCGCCAGCAGGAGCGCCACCGTCGCAGCACCAAGGAGTTTCATGGTTTCTGAGGCAAGGCAAATTGCAGAATGGGCTCTCTTATCGTTCAGGGCAGAATCGTTTTGATAGGCGGTGCGTATATCCCAAGCATTGGTGCAGAACCGTCGCGTGGAAAGGTTAGGGTACACATTTCTCTATATACATATGTACAACACTTGCAACCACCTTTGCTCGTGAGCAGCAAGCACATCCAATCCGAAACCCAAAACCATTGGCAAAACAAAATGGAGCGCAAGTTATAGGGGTAAGGATGTTGGCTTTTTTAGGCACCGTGCATCGACGGAGTCGAAACCGATGCAGCAACGGCGGCCTCTACAGACCAGTCGTATGCAATACCCACCATGATCGTTGCGCATGCACCGCCCACCCGTGTCGCCCGAGGCGGCCCCACCGACCACGCACAGGACCGGCGGCAAGATCGCGTCCCTTGCAGCCACACCGCCGCCGACCACTGGATGCGGTCGCTACCACGATTGGCCGTTCGTTCTGCTCTTTTCTGCAACGCCATCATCATTTGCCGCATGGTGCAGCAATGACCTGTCTTCCACGGTACCGTCAATCCGTTCAAGAGCTCGTTCGACGCGACGTATGCCAACGACATGCTCGGGTTGTTGCGCTCTCGGGCCTCGCAATCGCCTCTATGCTGCTGCTCGTGCTCTTTTCCCGACCTCCATTATCGTGTGCACCTTGCTGCAGATGTCCATGTACATATTTCCTTGTCCGACGTGGTGGCATAGCTTCAACTTGGCCGTCCTTGTCGGCATCGCTGTCGTCGGTCTGCTCTTGAACGCGTCCATTGTCGCAGGTGTTATTCTGACGCTCCTCGATCTCTGTACGAGCATACTCTAGCATGTCTCTTCTTTGAGAGATAGTTTGCTATGTAGCTACTTGCACGGCATTCGCCGTCACAATCCGTTTGCAGCCGCCAACTTGAAGGTCGCCGCCGCCATCGCAGGAACCAGCGATTTCGTCATGCCGAGAGTATTGCTCCTACGCTTGGATCGGTGGTTGATGAAGTGATGTGTTTGTATAGGCGTTGTGATCATGGGCGCCTTTCCATCGGTCTCATGGTTGCCATTGTGACGCTTGGTATGATCGAGAGTGCACCCGCGGCCGTGATCGTGTGCTTTGTTGAGGTACATTTTGATGGGAAAATGGATGATATTTCTATCACATGATGTAGAACCCCGAGGCGTTGCGATAGTCCCACTTTCGGTCGCTTCTCCACAGCTGGCAGCGCATGTACCCGACTGTGATGATGGCGGCGGGGTACACATACGCGCCGGCCCGAGTCGACATTGCCATTTCATAGTAAAAAGGTGCATTTGATACGATTAAATAATGTAGAACACGACTCTTTGTATTCGTTGCGAGCACAAGAAGGTTGTTGTCGGTCTATGCTGGATATATTGCTACTTGCGAGTACTTTCAAATACCATACACTGTACCAGTGTTGATTTGGAGGAGACGTATCGTGGAGCGGACGTCGTAGAGTGAATCATCCTACGTGATGTGCCCGGCCGCAAGGGTGCTTTGCTGGCCGTGAAATGCGATGTATATTTTGGCGTATGAAAGGCATGTCGTCCCACACGCCGCTGCAAGTCGGTTTTTCAATTCGCGGCCGCTAGAAATGTCGACCTTGCATCGTCGGCCCTACCCCTGGTCTCCAAATAGCTACCTGTCGAGAGGTATTTTTACAAGCCCGCGTCGGCCAACCGTCTACACCCTTTGCAGTCGATGGCGCCACCTCGCTCGGAGCGGCCCGTGTCTTGTTCATTTTGAATTTGCCAACTACCATGGTCAAGCTCTTCGCATCGGCTTTCTACACCGCAACTGCCCTTCTTACGGCGGTGCACGCTTGCGTCTGGGAGTCGTCCGGGGACGTCGTCGGCAACCTGACGCTGTACTGTGCCGACGTGGCCACGGGTGCTCGCTTGGAGCCGACAAGCACGACCGCGCCCATGGTGTCGGTTGACGCGCGCGATGCGCTTCAAGTGGTGGTACGGGCGGACGCGACCCAAGAGATTCTCAACGCCGACGCCAGCGACTGGACCACCGCGTACAATGCGACCGTTGCCGCACCGGCGTCCGGTGGCTACTCGGTCGTATTGGTCTGCGGCAAGCCTGACGGTGGCGCGTGCCACGTCTCGTACGGACTGCAATGGGCATCGCCCGTGCCAGTCCGCCGCGCGTTGGCTACAGAAACGGGTTGTTACTTCTCGGGCAGCTACACGACGGGGTTCACGGACCCCAATCTTGTCTTTACGTGCAACAACGTACAGCCGGGCTTTCTGGTGTCAATAGTCAGCTCCAGCTCGGACAAGTTCTTCACTGCCTTCTTTGACGCATCCAACTATGCGCGCTACAAGAGCGGCGGCACCGGCACGTGCCTCAACACCGGCTGCGCTACCATCTATAGCGCTGAATCGACGACTTCGGCGGTCGTGGTTACCAGCTCGGGGTCCTACACTCTCGTGATCCGCTGCCAAAACTCGATGTCTCGTTGCACCGTCAACGCGGACATCTACTTCCATACGAAAGCGCCCGCCGTCTATATGGGATGCAGCTTCTCCGGCAACTTTGCCGCAGACTTTGCGTACATTTTCGTCTGCGACAGCGTGCAGCCGGGGGTGTTTACGCCCACGGTCTCGTCTGCGTCCGACAGCTTTAGCGTCACCATCTTTGACGGAGCCAACTACGCGCGGTACATCAGCGATGAAGACGGCTATTGTGCCAATGCTGACTGCCTGGACATCTACACCGCGCAGTCGTACACCAAGAGCCTCAACATTGGTCGCTCTGGTACATACGCCGTCGTCGTTGAATGCCACAACTCCGACGGGGACTGCAACTTTAGCGGCACCATCAACTTCAATACCGGCGCAGCGTTGACGCCCACGCCAGGCGCCACGACACCCAGTGGCGCGAGCTCGACGTGCCCCGTCCCTGGCACGTACCTGAGCACGGACATGCGTCTGGAGCTCTCGAGCTCCGGGACCTTTGCCCAGACCAACGACGGCGGCAACGGCGTCACGTGCGCAACGACGGGGGCGTACGAGGTCTCGGGCCAAAAGGCGTCCTTCACCGTGTCGACTGTCTCGGCCGAGTGTCGAAGCCGTTATACAATCAACCAAAAGTACTCGGTGCCCTTCTCGTTCTCGAGCAGCTGCCAGCAACTCACGCTCATCGACGCCACCAAGACGTGGACGCTGCAGCGAGTGTCCAGCGCGCCCATGGCCAGTGTGACCATGCTGCTTGCTGTGCTCCTCGCGTGGTGCGCGCTCTAGTCGCACTCGAGTCGAACGACCGCCACCGTTTTTCTACACATGAATGCATGTGGACTCGTATATGCACATCAATACAACACCATTCCATACAGTGTGTTTTATACGAGTAAGCGCGTGGCTTCCATAAACGTGCCCGTGGTGTTCCCTTTCCTCGGTGGTACATTGATGTGTCGCATGATCGCAGAGGCTGAAATGCATTGACAGTTCCTGTAGCGTTATTCATGCGCTGTGCTCGGTCACAAACTAGTGGTATTATAACCGTGCGAGCCCCAACATCGTCCCTACGACTGGGATAGCTGGCGTCAGCGTCGTCTCATACATTCACGAGTTCACAACCTGCACGGCTTCTTCCCTATTACAACCAAGCCGCGCTTTGGCAGAAAAGGTTGGAGAATGTACATCAATCTATTGGCCGTTTCATTTGGACGTCTCTTGTAAACAACTGGAGGTGCAAATGTCACGGTGCGTCATCCCTATCAAAATTCGCGCCGACCAACCACTCAAGTCCATGGACCATTGCCGTCAAGGCGGCGCGTGTCGCTCAACTGCATTTCCACCGCAGCCTCGTTCAAGGGCCCGAGCAGCCTGCTCTTCGTCGGCTTCTCCGGCTCATCACTTGTCCAGTTGTTGACGCCTTGTGAAGCGAGCGACCGCAGTGAAATGATCGACAATTTTGTACAGTGTCGTTCAAAAATTGTTTGTTCCATCGACTTGACCTGTCTTGTATCTCGCTAAACCGTACTGAAGCACAACAACAGACGTGCGACGCCAACAACCCGAAATGACAACCAAAGCGTTGGGTGGAAAATGCAAGAAAAATCAAGTCGCTTCACAACATCCACAACATATCGTTTACATGTATGCAGCTACAGAAAAAGCACGTCAGGTGACCGCTACGCTATATCGTCGGCGGTGCTGGACGCTGCGTCCTGGCACGTTGCGGCGGCGCCATGGGAACCGTGCTTCGTGCGCAATAGCGCAGGATTCTACGAGGTCAAAGAGACGCCGGTCGTCGCACTTGGCATGCGCGTTCGATGGGACGTGCAGAAGGAGCTCGACGTCGCGGCGCAGCGCGCGTGGTCGCACGCCTTCGACCAACATGGCGCAAAAGAGAGTCGCACCGGCGAAGCGAAAGTTGTTGGCGTCGGCCATCTCGTTGGCGCGCATAAAGTAGCTTGCGACGCGCGCGCGGGCGTCGGGGATGCGCATGTCCATGACGAGGTGCACGCGGTAGTGCTGCACGATCGCCTCGATCGACGTTGGCGTCGTCTCTGCCAGCTCGCGCTCGATCCAGGCGAGGATGTCGGCGTCGGTGATCGCTGCCTCGGCCATGCACAGCTTGTAGTGCGCGAGGAACCGCAGCGTTGGCGGCGCGATCGTCGCTAGGATCGAC